GTCAAATTGCTTAAAACAGCAACTAGCATGAACCATGGTGATCACCTTTATTTCCAAAATTTTCCATAAACCCTCTCTAAAAACTCTTCCATTCCCAATCAAGTTTTTCACTCCAAATCTTCATTCTTGTGGTTCTTCATATCAAAAGGAGCTAAAGAAAGTGGAATTTAAGGTAAAGTTCATTCATTTCAACTCACATTCATCACATTAATCTGGTTTTTCATGGAAAAAAGGTCACGTTAATACCATAAATGTACTTCCGAGTACACAATAAACTGAACCAGATATACATTTATGGTATTCTGTCTGTTTATTTTCCTGCACTTCATTCGTTGCTATGAATGTTTCTTAGTTAAATGATTTTTCTTACATTAAAGTGCTAGATTTTTGGAACCATTTTAAAAATGAACAAGAGTATGAATTTCGTGATGACATGCTGTAGTGGATTCGTACAGAGGCCACCAAACTAGGATTTGGTGTTGTGATTGGAAGGTACGATAATGGTTCGGATAAAAGATGTGCATTTGTGACATTGACATGTGAAAGAAGTGGTAAATATATACGACCTATCCGGAATTTGAAATGAGATGATACCGGTTCAAGAAAATGTGAATGTCCATTTAAGTTGCATGATTATTAGTTGGAAAATGATAAATGGAGTTTTAATATGGTATGTGGTTTACATAATCATGATTTATATGCAAACTTAGCCGGTCATCCAAGTGCATGTAAGTTTTTTCTGGAAGAGAAGGAATGTGTTTCCGACATGAAATTGAATTTGGTACCTCCCAAAAGCATACTTGTAACATTTAAGTGCAAAAGATCCAGGAATATCTCAAATATCAAGCAGTGTACACTGGGCGATATCAATCTAAACTAGCATTTAGGGAGGATCGAACTGAAATGCAACTCCTCTTGAAGCTTCTAGATGATAACAATTACATTTCTAGCCCCCAGAGATGTGAGGATGGAGTAATAGTAAAAGATATACATATTGGTCTCGTTCTGATTCCATTAAATTGTTCAATATGTTTTCCACTGTGCTTATAATTGATTTGACGCATAAGACGAACAAATACATGCTTCCATTGTTGGAAATTGTTTGTCTTACGCCAACTAAGAAGACATATTATGTTGGGTTTGCATTTCTAGAGTGAAATAAAGAGGACAATTTTCTATGGGCTTTAGAGGTCCGTCGGTCAATGTTGAAGGACCAAGAAGGTATGCTGAAAGTCATTGTTAGCGATCGAGATACCGTATTAAAGAATTCGGTTGCAATCATATTTACCACTTCTTATGCATTACTTTGTAGGTATCAAATTATTAATAATGTGAGAAGTCGTGTTAAACACGCGGTAGGGACAAAACAGATAGCAGGTGAAGATGGAAAATTGGTCAAGGCGGGCGTTATTGTGGAGAAAATTATGGATGCATAGAATGTTATAATAAATGCATCTACAAAAGATCTATATGATGATGATGTTATACATTTTAGGAAGGTGTGAGTGAATATCCCAATTTACTGAAATATGTTGAAAGCACAATTTTTGACCAAGTAAAGGAGAAGATTGTTTGTACTTGGACCGATCAGGTTATGCACCTTGGAAATACAACAACAAGCCGAATTGAATATGCTCATGCTTGTCTGAAGAATTGGTTGGGTAATAGCAAGGGTGATTTGTGTGCGAATTGGGAATTTGTGAACCAAATGATAATAAACTAGCATATAAGATACAAACATCATTTGATCGTAGTATCACATTGTTGGAACATAGGTTCAAAGAAAAACACTTTATATTCTCAATTGGTTGGAAACATATCTCGATCAGCTCTGAATTATATTTTTCACGAAGCCAAACAAGCTTTTAATGTAGGTTCTGATAGCTCAAAGTGTGGTTGCACACTTGTGAAAACGTATAGTCTCCTATGTGATTGTGTCATATCTAAGAAGGTGAAACTTTATTGTACGATACGAATGGACGGGGTTTGTAGTCATCAAAAGAGGCTCAGTTTTGAAGATGATGATATTATGAAAGACGATAAATCAAATATATCCATTATGGCTGAATGGGAAGCGATACAAGAAAAATTTATGAAAGCCGATGACAATACAAAACTCCACATCAAAGAGGAGTTGAGGAAGATTACATTCCCCGAGACTACCTACTTGAAACCACCCTCTCAACCAGTAAAAACGAAAATAGTACCTAAGAAGGTGAAACCTACACTGGGTGATAATTCAACAACGAGGAGTCAATCATATTTTGAACACGTTGACAAAGTTTTTCCAGATTCACCGACTCCCAAATCTCAAAAAAGTGTTTTTAAAGGAGCCCACATTAGCAAACCACCTCCTACACTGACTCCATCAAAAATACCTCCTACACCGACTCTACCAAAAATATAATTCATCGAGGAGATGTCGATTTTTATGCACAATTACATTGAATGAATCGTTAATGTTAAGGGTGACAATAACTGTGGTTTTCAAGTTGTTTCTGGTTTTCTCGGTAAAGAGGAAAGAGGTCACCAACTTGTCGGCAATACTCTTATTAGAGAGATGAGGAGAAATAGAGAATTATACACACGTGTGCTCGAGACTAAAGAAAAAGTTGAAGAGATTTATTATGCTCTTGTGCCTTGCGTAGGTGGATTTGTACCAGAGGAAAAATGAATGCGCTTCCCTGAGAAGGGTCATCTCATAGCAAGTACGTATGAGAAAATGTGTATTAATCTTACAAGATACAGTTTCTCGAAATTTTTCCCCACTACATACTACTCCTTCACCAAATCCCAATGGCCGTATCATCTGTGTTAGGTGGGTTTCAAATCTACGACATTTTCTTTAGGTGTATTTGAAACCGGGATGCCATATACCACTAACATCACTTGAGTGGGTGAATCATTATACAATCCAATCTGAGACTTGGTTGGACCAATTTATTGAAAGGATGCAAGATTACACCAAATTGAACAATATTGAAATAGAAAAAAATAAGGAAAAGTCTAAGGGGGTACAACCTATAGATTTGGCAGATGATAATTATTTCGGATCATTTAAGTAGTTATTTATCATTTTATTGTATATGACATTTTGTAAATGTATTATGATGTGGAATATAAGCATTGTAGTTTGTCTAAAAATATCAGCATTCTAGACAATTATGTGCTTATGTTGCTGTTTTGTTTTCTGATTTTTTATACTAGGGAAGTTTCCAAAGATATATCTCCCGTACAAAATTTAGGGTGTTACTGGAGTTGAATCTCCGGTACATTTTCTCTCAGTAGATAGGATTTGTGTGGTCAATAATATCATCACACAACTATAAATAAGCTCACTTATGATTTTGTTTCATACCAAAACACAAAAAACTAGCATGAACATCAAATGACATGTTAGAAATGTTCACTTTACCAGCAATACACCATCTCGAGAATTTAAGGTCAACGAGTACACCTCTTTTGAAGATCTGCAATACATATTGCAGGAGCTCCTACGATATGGTGATAATCGGAAAATCGTGAAGATCGAATACCGCTCGTCATCAGTTGACGAAGAAGGAAAGCTTGAGTTTACAAACCATGAGCTGAAGACGGGCACTGATTTACGGACTATGTGGAGAACCTTTTTCTATTTAGAATCAAAAGTACTAATCGAACTGTATGCGACTATTTCGAGATCAATCGATGATATTATCAAGATGCTGCAACGTCCACGTGGATGTTAAAGTGTATTGTTTGATCTATGTTAAAATCTTTTATGTATTGTTTATTTTACGATATTAATGGTGTTGAAATTTTGTAAAATTAGTGTATTTCATTTCTGTTTTTGCTCTATAATGAATTTTTCAATAAATATAACACCGATTTGATACCGTAAATATATCTTCAAGAAATTTTGTGTTTTATCACCTCTTGAGTGCGTCCCGAAAATATGTCTCTGAAATTTAAAAATATTTTAAAAATTTGTGTGATGCGGTAAAAAAAAGATAAAGTGCCGCTTTTTTAATCATCGTAGACTCTTTGTTTGGTTCTAAATCGATAGTTTGCCTTGTAATTATAAAATCCACTTCAGTTTATTGTGATTGACTTCTAACTGTTTAACTATAAATGATTTTGAAGTTTACTTAAGTTCGGGACTGAATTTTTTATTACAGAATTTATAATCGTGTCAATTTATATATCAACTTTTATTTTTTTAATTTGAATGAGAAAATAAAATATATATTTATAATATAAAATTATTTTACACTGTCAATTAATCACGACTATATTAAATATTAAATTATATTTTTATTTTTAAATAAATTATATGATATAATTAAATGATAATTTTTGTTGGATAATTATTTTACACTATTAATATACTACATTTTATTTCAATTTGAATTGTGTTTAGATTATTAGTTAAATTATGTATGTGATGTGTGAATGTATATGTCTGAATTTAAATTCATTTTAATCTTTTGTTTTTATTGGATCAAACTCAATCTCATATTATTTTATATTATTTTTTTCTATTTTAATTTATATAAAATATTGTAGAACTTTCCGCATTAATTTGAATATAAATTAAACAATTTAATAATATACATAATTTTAAAAGGGTAATATCTAGTTTTAAAAGTTTTTGATGATCAAGTATATATCAAGATGAGTCACTCTCTTATCCACATTACGATTTCAACAAGTGGCTACACGAGTGACTTTCATCTCCAACAAAAAAAAAAAGAGAAGAAACACGTAGTATATTCATCATTCAAGAATTTGACATCTGTAGTCATATCTTGTTTGTTCACAACCCAACATATAATCGTTGAACTAAGGTCTAAGGTGTAACCATGAAAACAAACAAACAAGCAAGAGACACATGGCAACTTCAACGTTCCAATACTTGACATGTGTTACATGCATATTTTAATATTAATGATCCATTCAAAAGATGCTATATATTGATTGTTAGTTGTGTACTATACTTTTAACAACAAAGGTTAAGGTTAATGGAGGCACACAAAGAAAGGGAAGAGAAATTAGAAAAAGAGAACACAAGAGGAATATCAGAGAAGATTGTTAGTAACCAAATCAATGATGATAGACGTAAAAGGGAATTAGAGTGTGACAAAGTGACCAAAAAGATTACTTATGACAACATAATTTCAAGTGGTGAAACAGCTCAAGATCCTAATGATGTATTGGCTTTCTCTCGATCAGTTTATAATGTTGATTCCTCACTCGAGTGATATATCTATGATTTTGAGTTGATCAAAATTGTGTTAGTGTCTTGTTTTAATATTTAAACGTACATGTAATGTAACTAGGGAAGCAAATTTCAAATTTCTCGTCTATTTTTAACAATGATAAATCAAATTTCAGACTTCGATATTCTGCATATACATTTAATTAAGTAGATTAAAATTTGCTGATTAAAGAAAAAGTAGAAAAAAAAATTTTTTTTTATCTTTTCAATTAAAACTTTGATGGTTAGTAGATTTTTGATAATGATTTTAAAATATGACTTTGTTCCGTTCCGAATTAGAATCGTTAGTGCATGTTGTGATGCATTCTAGTCATTGACTAATATGTTAGTCATTGAGTAGTATGTAAGTGATTAAGGATGGAAATCATAACTTTTCTCGCACAAGTGATGCTATTTATATGGTGGGTGAAATTGGGTCATTGTTACAATATTCATGAGGGTGGAGTATACCTTCTTTCTTTTAAGAAAGCGGTCTCTTCTTCAATTCTTTTAAGATGTCTTTCTCTGACAGAGGGTGCATCATCCTCTAACTCAGTTCTTCTATTTTAAATGGGATGACAATATCGATTCTTTTGAGTTGTTGTCTTCTGATAGAGGGTGTATCATTCTCTAACTGAGTTCTTCTATTTCAAATGGGATGACAAAGTCTGTTCAATTCTCTATTTTTCATTTTAGTAAAGAATTGGCGTTCTGACGGATAAAGATTAACATGAGATATTGTAAAGATTAACATGAGATATTGTCATTTGTCTTACACGGTTATCGTATTTCGTTGCATATTTCAATAGAGAAAATTCTTTTCTCACTTGTGTATGGAAGATAAGCAATCTTGGAAGTTGAGATTTCTTCTTTAAGAATTATGATGGATGTAAAGTTTGACGAAGTTGAATGAGTTCAAATAAGATTTAATCAGTTGAACCTTATCGATGAGAAGCGGTTGAGATTTTGAGTGATCTTGGTAGTAAACATGGTTGTCTATACCATATTTGGGGGCACGAGTTTTGATTTAGGTATTTACATGAACTGTCGTTCACTTATGTTGAGCAAAATATGGTTTGAACCAAGGTGGTTACCAATGAGGTTCTCTAGCTTCATCTTTTCTCTCGGAGTTTACAAATCAATCTGTGACTCTCCAATAGAGTTTGCAATCCAGTGGTTATTGACAATTCATTTTGCTATTCCCCACAGAAGATCAGATCACAGTAATTCTTTTCTCTACAAAGTTGTCTGATTAGCTTCTGTGCCTTTTCCTAACGAAGTTTTCTTTCATACATTCTTGCATATAATAACTATCATTACATTGTATCTATCAAAATGCGTAATATTTGCATTTATATGGAGTATTGGGCTATGGAAAAATTCAAACATGCATCGAAGCATAATGCAATTTAAGTCTTTCTCGAAAGCATCATCCTGTGATCATTGCCCTACATAGTACAATTTACAAATATCCTCTGATATTTTCAACAGGTTTTCTTCCAGTTTTTCATCTTTGGTGTTGACTTTATACTCTTCGCGTACCAAGCATTTTGTTTGTTGGAACTTTCATTTTCTCCCTCAACAGAGTTTGAGGAGGGCCAATATCTCTTCATTCCCCAGCGGAGTCTTGAGTATTTTCACTTTCACTCATCAATAAGGTCTTGTAGAGATTCTCTTTGTCATTCCTCAACAGTTTTGTATTTAGATTCTTTCCTCAGTATGCTCTGTTGTGACTTCTATCCCTAGTCAAGTTTTGTTGTGATTCTCTTTCCCCAAAGAGTCATTGATCATTCTTGTCTTTTGTAAGTGTTCTTGGTGGTTGTTGCCCGATTTTGCATTTCACGGTCAGAATGCGAGTAAGAGTTGGTGGATAACATTTCTTATTTTTCAATTATTTAAAAAATCTTACTTGGTATTTGGCAGTACATAAAATTGCCACTTTTGAAGAATTTACTCCGTCTTTGGTCCGAGGAATAATGTAGTTATTTTGCCTAATGCAAATATCTTAATCATTCGCTTACCTTTTGTAAGTCGATCCCTTTATTGCCTTTTGCATAAGGGATATCTCTTGCCATTTTGCAAGTTGTTGTACCCCAAAATTTGCCCTTCCATAATCTTCAAAGTTATGACAAGCAAATGGTTCAAAGTCTACTCAAGGGCTACACAATCAACCATCCTCCTAAGCCAGTCAAACTAGTGTTTTGGTTCTTGCAAGGAAGTTGAGGTTTTCAAGGGCTCAATCAAGTCACATATGCTCATACACATTGTCAAGCACCTACATGTCAAGTTTCAAGGCTCACAAGGTCAAGTTGCACAGTCAAAAACCCTAATTGCTCAACAGTCAACTGTAGGGGTAAAATGGTCATTTGGCAGTCAAAAGTCAAAAAATTTGGTCAACATCTTATTTTGAAGCCACAAACATCATTTGATCAATGCTTGATCATGATTCTCAAAGTATGGCTCAAAAAAGTCTCAAGATGCAAAAGTTTCTATTTTGGGACAGCTGAAAAGTCAACTGTAACTTGACCAAGGCATAACTTTTTCATGGTTCATCAGAAAAATTCCATCCAATGCTCATCTTGAAGGGGAAGACATTTCCTACAACTCATCTTCACATTCCAAGTCCAAGAAATGCTCTCACAAAAAGTTATCAATTTCAACATTATAGGTCATTTTCAAAAGTCAACAAAAAGGGACTTTAAGTCAAAGACCATAACTTGAGATTGGTAAATCAAAATGACATGGGACCAAAGACATTGGTTAGAGGACTTCAAGACCTTTCTAAAATGTCAAAGTACATGATCAAAGCTTAAAAATTGAGCAAGATATGCATTGGAGAAGCTGGGAAATTTTTGTGAAATGGCCAAAATCATTTATCCTTGAAATTTCATTTTTTGACAAAAGAGGCCCACTTTTCCACTTGAATCAGCTTGGCCATGCTTCCCACGTGTCCCACATTTTATTTCAAAATTTAAAATTAATTTTTTCATTTTTATTTGATTTTATTGGATTTAATTCATTTTAAATCCTTTAAAATCAAATAAAAATCAAAAAGGTTAATTAAGGGACATATTTGGCTTTGATTGGCTTTGAATCACCATTATACAACATCCCAAATTCGTACCAAGGCCTAATCAAGCAAGAATTAAAAATTGGCTCAAAAATGGAAGGTGTGTTAATGGAGGTTTATGGAAAATCTTAAGCATGAATGCAAGGCATTATGGGCCATAATTCTTATCAAAGCACATTGCATAATATGTATACAAGCTAACACAAGCAAAAACAGGACCTAAGCTGCGCCCAAACTCAGAAGAAAAACTTGCATTTTTTCATAAAATTCTGAAAACTGTTTTCCCACATAGAGCACGTTTCAAAGCAAAAGAATTATTCCATCACACTCCTGACACATCCAGGAAGCCACTCCAATCAAAATAAACCCTCCACGCGCAAGGAATTGGTATATTGAAGTCACACTTTTCTCAAACTTTTTCATAATCGTATCTCAATATATATGCATGTTTCATACATTTTAAAGGTTGATTTATATTAATATGAACCTTCTGAAGCTCATGATACCATTTAATTGTCCTAACCATGCCTGTAGCGAAATATGCCATTGACGTTTTCTAGGTTTTCAGAGGTTTGAATTTGGGGCTTTCCTCATCTGGAAAAATTAGGCCACGAGACCTGTACCACTGGATTCAGGACCTTCCAACGAATAGAAATTAACCCTCGCGCCTTTTTCTTTTTCACCATATGTTGTTCGCTCTTTTTCGCAGGTTTGATTTAGTGGGGGTTTAAAACCCCCGCTATCTATTTTATTTACAGAAGAAAAAGGAGGACGAAGCTTAGGTGTCCACACGTTAATGGTTGGTTTCAAATCCTGGCGCGCGTTTTGTTGAAATACCACTAGCGCTTGTTTCTCTCTCATAATAATCATTGTCTATTATAATATCAAAGAGAGTCAGTGGCTCAGATGGTTAGTGTGTTTGCTTGCAGGTATTGGGACCTGGGTTCGATTCCCAGGTCCCCCATACAATTGTTGCTATTTTTTCTAACCCTTTCCCATGCAGTGCACGCTCCAAAGTCCACCATGCATCCCAACGCAGTAGCTTGACAAGTGGATCCCTGATCAATCAAAAGGCTAGAACGTGCAGCCTACCATACACATTCAGTCAACCATATGCACGCAAACGTGGAAAGTCAATGGGGCCAGGTTTCTGATGGGCCAAAACTCTCACAAAAACCTCCAAACTGGGCAGGAACCCCCCATGGTTTGCATATTGTTTTCTTTCTTTTCATTTTTTTTATTTGTTTTATTTATTTTAATTAATTCACCAAATTTAATATAAAAATCCAAAAAAATCAGAAATCATAAAAAATAAATAAAAAATATGTTTTATTTAATATTATTTTGTAAATAAATTTTAATAATCAAATTAGTTTAATTTAGGTTTTCAATTTTAATATTTTCTTAATAACTAAAAAATATAGAAATTAGGGTTTTTAGTATTTTTATTCTTTTTCCTTTTTATTCTTATCATTATTAATTATTAATTATTTTTGTAAATACTCTTGTAATTAAACAATTAGTAAATTAGGTTTAAACTTAAATATTTTCTTTAATAATTAAAAACAATTTAGAACTAGGTTTTTATTTAATTTCAAATTCCAATTAATTTTCTTTATGTCCATTAAATACAAAAACATCAAAAAATAACTTATTTTCTTTAATCATTAATTAATTTCGTAATTTCAATTTAATTTCTTTAAAGGGTCCAACGCCCTCGCACTTTCGCTTCTAATTTCTTTTCGCGCGTTTATTTACGTTTTTCATTTTAAATATTATGTAATTGCCCCAAGGCCTTGTAATAGATAATTAGGACATTTGCTTTCCGCACTTTCATTTAAAATCGGGTCTTTGTTAATTTGGCGATGTATGGACCCGCGCCTTGTAATAGCGTAGGACTTTTATTTTCCGCATTTTAATTCCCGCACCCTTTA